TGTATGTTCCAACACTGTGCTCACTACGTTGCTGTCCCATGGGACTAGTTTGTGCAGCCCTCCTTCATGCTGGTTAGTATGTTCTCAGATGTGGAGTCTTTGGTGACTGAAAAGGGAAGACAAAGTGACTTCTCTCAGCTGTGTGTAATGGGCTGGCATTTGGTCCCCCTGTATTGTGCTGCGTGGGAGGAGGAGGAGGTTTAGGGGCAAGCTAGGGATGGGAAGTGGGGACCTCCAGAGCTGGACTTCTACCAGGACTGTTCTCAGACCAGAGAGGTTTAATGAGAGATGAGGTCAGGACACAGCTGTAGCTCAGCATGTGTTGGAGGTAAGGGGACTGCCTCTCCCCCAGCACAGAGCAGTGCTGTGGGCTCAGAAATGTGTCGTGAAGGTAGGGCACATTGATACCAGTGAGAGTCCCCTAGGCAGCACATGCTGCTCCTGGAAGTTGTCTGTGGGCAACAGCCCTGTTGTGTGCATAGTGGGCCACTGAGGAGGATTTCTCTGCCTGTGGAGGATGGTGTGGTCTGTGACCTTTCCAGTTCTTGCTCTCTGGAGATAAGTGGCTGCCCACTTCTTTCTGAAAACATCTTGATAGAGTGATGGCACTATGAGTAACTTCCAGTCTTTGGATAGCAGGATCAGGAAGCGTCTGGGGACATGCAGACACTCCTGAAAGTAGTGAAACTTTGGCTGATCACACGTTGCCCTCATGATCATATTAATGTGATGTATCCAAAGGGATTTCAACTTGTGCCATAGCTGCTGCTGCCTTTCATCTTTGTCTTCCTTGCTGAATCAGGAAAAACATAACCCACTGCACGTGCGTTGTGTCTTCCTGCTGTCCAAGGCTCTCATAATGTTGCCAACGCTGGCTTGTCTGCTAGCGTTCAGCAGACCCCATGTTTCCCCCTCCACCACTTCACTCATACAGAGCATAATTGTTTCTTTGGATTTATACTACTACCCAACTAAACAGCAGTACACACATGAACAGAGAAGAAAGTTTGATTTACCTTTATTCATAACTTCAACTTGTATGAAAACCCTCGGTTCTAAAAATCATCTAAAATAATTGTATTCTGGCTTCTTCTCTCCCCTCCCTCACAGTCCAGGCACCTGCAGCCATTCTCTAGCAGTAGAGGTGCTCTCTGCAGTGTGGGCAGGGAGCCTGGGAGGCTCCTGCAAATAGTTTGTCCCATTTAGGGTCAGAGATATGTGGCAGTTACTGTAAAAAACAGTGTTCATTTTGTTGGCTTAAAATGTAAATGCTTTGAGGGCAGGAGCCGTCTTTTGTGTGTGTACATGTGGGTGTGTATTTTTATACACTTCTTCACACAAGACATGCAGTTAGGAGCTGCAGTATGCAAAGCCACATCTTTCTGTCCTGTGGTAGTTTAGAAAAGTGTTTTTTCTGATCCACGGAGGTGAACAGTGATTCAGATCTGAACACTGGGCCTCTTAGACACAGCTTGCTTTGGGCCTTCAAACACAAGCAGTGTACCCCTCAATATTCCAGTTGCAGCAGGAGTAAGGTAACTTAGAGCGGGTCCCCGTGTCCAGAATCCTTCTGGGAGACGTTCCTTGACCAGCCTGGGAAGAGAAAGCTGCATTGCAGCCTTCATCCATTGGTGACCAAGATGCCATCATGTGTTACATTTCATTCTTAATTTTAGACAATGAAACAGCTATTTGCACTACAAAGAATTCGGATTAGAAAACAGACCTTGCTCTTCATATTTACTGCAGGTAGAAGGGAATCTGAAATCAGCAAAATTGTCATTTGTTTTAAGCTTGATGCTATTTTGTTTTGTTGTTTTGGTGTGTTTTTTTTCTAAAAAGGCAGGAATATATTTTTAGGCTTTTATAGGCGCATGTTGAAAGTTGAGTTACGGGGTAAGTCAGTGGTGAAAATTTTTGTTTCTGTTTGTTTGGCATACTCTTAACTTTGTCCGTTTTGTGCTAAGCTTCTGCATTTCTTACGAAATGTGATGGACTGTTCTACAGCTCATAGTGTATGATTTCACAGTTTCTCTATTTTGTAAACTTACTTTGTAAGCTTATTTTGTAAGCTAAAATGTCCTCAGAGAAGGTTCAGGTCAAACTTAGGAGTGACTCCAACAGTGAAGAACAGAGATATGGTGGGTTAGGTGGCATCTCACTGTGGAGCCTTTGTCACTGAAAGCCTTTACTAACAGATACAGCTGTGAAGAATTACACAGATGTTACTGGCTCTACCAATTCTGATCTCTAAATAATACATTATGTTTGTTTAACATGCTTCTTTTCTTAAATCACTTTTGTTCCCTTGAAACAAAAGATCAGATTCTGCCATCAGTTGGGAGAACATCCCAGAACTCTGCCATCATGAGTCTGGGATGTCTAAACTGACTGACCCTGGGTCTCTGGCTGTCACAGAGAGTGCTTGGTCACAGGAAAAGTTCTGACACCTTTGAATACATGTCCTACACTCCTTTTCCCAAACCGTAAAACACTTTCTGAGGAAGTGCTACCATGAAACTCATCCTGGGGACAACAAGTGGAAGTCTTCCTTTTTACTTGCCAAGGTAAATGGAATTGAGGATTTGATTCTTATTAACTATAAACACAAGTGAGAGAAGGCTGCAAAGAACAGTCATATCCTGTGCACAGCCTTGAGGTCTCTGATGAAACAAAATTACACAAAATTCACAGATGCTAAAAATAGTTATAATACCAGTTTGATGTTGCATTTTGTCTTCCTCCTATAATGCAGTAAAATGGCCTGTAATTCACATTGCAAAATTGCATGCATGCCTCTTTGAAGAAAACATCTTCATTGTATGTCTGCAGTGGCCAAAGTTACAAGCCAACCCACCACAGTGTTAGTATGAGCCATGCAAATAAATAAAGAAGGACAAATAACACTAGCTCCTTTAGGGCAGCTGCCTGCTAATCCATCTTGCTCAGGTTTTGGAGCTTTTCAGTATAGGAAACCTATTGTGCCTTGTACAGACTTAAATTCACCTCTGGTGATTAGGAAGGTAATAGATTATGTTAATTTTGTTTATTACATTATATGAAATGTTGCTTTAATTAAGAGATTTAACTTTTAAGTCCTTGCTGACAGTGACATTAGTACAAAATTTGCAGCTCTTTCAGCCTGGCATTTTGAGCTGAGCTCTTGTGGCCTGTCAGAGGTGGTTGCTGTAGCAAGAAAATTCTTTGGAAAGTATGTATGTATTGTGGTTTATTTGTTGTATTTGTATGCATATTTCATCTATTAGTGCTAAATAGCTTTTTGGAGGGTGATTGTAGCCTTGCCACTAGCTGGGTGGCTTCACTGTTTCTTTCCTCCTGGCTATTGAATACTATCAGGTTTCATATCTTCCCCCTACTCTCAAGTTTTTTGGCTTTCAGACCCTCTGTAACTCTGGAGTCTCTGAGCAAAAAAATTCTTTCTTTAAAATGAAAAACAAAATCCAGCCTAGGGGAGGCTAAACTAACCTCTGGCTATCTGCTAGAAGATGGAGTAATATCACTACCTTGAACTATGGCTTCATTTTTGTATTTTGTGAAGCAGCTTCTCTGCATTGTTTATATGTTCTGGTTGAAGGGGCTCTTCCTATACCAGGATGCAATAGGAACGTCATTTTTCCTCTAACATGAGCAGATGTCCTATCTGCAGTAGTAGCAATAACATTGCTGCTTCCTGTTGTTGCAGATGTTGTTAGCAGGCTAGACCTGAAAGCAAAAGAGGGGGCAGGTTTCAGTCCGTGCCATTCAGCATCACCAACGTCAACCCTACCCGTGCACCTCCTTTTCCACATGTGGCTACCTCGGCTAGTGAACAGGAAGTTGCCCTGGAACACAAATTAATTTCCTTTCTACTTAGTGGTGGGGAGGAATGCTGCCAGAAATCTCTGTTCTTCTCTGCCTTGACCTTTTACACTAAACCCAAATTACGAGTTGTGTGTTACTGTATTGAGGGAAGGGGTGCCTGAAGTGAATCTGGCACACATTTAAGTATATGTCTCCCCACTCTTAGATTTCAGGGCACAGCCCTGTGCAAGCCTTCAGTCCACAATTATTGCATTCTTCTTCCTTTTTATAGGAGGTCACTATCAAATCCTGTGACACTTTTCTATCGCTAATCTGGCAGGCTGCCATTCAGGCCACAGGAAGCCCAGGAGAGTAGAATATACACTTAGAGCCTTATTTCATCTTCATTATTCCCAACATCAACAGAATTCCTTAAAGTCTCTGGAAGTTTGGTCTGAATGGGAAGCATTTTGCCTGAATAGCACCCCTTATTGAGGCATTGTCACTGAGTCACAAATCTAGATGAGTGTTTTGGCTAGCAGTTTAATCTATACTGCAGTGCTGCTTTTTCACACCAACACGGAGTGCTAATCACTTCTAATGGTCTAGTAGGATTGTCTGAGGGTGAGAGACTTCCTGATTTGAGAACTGGACACTGAAGGAAAAAAACACAATTCTATTCAAGAGTTTATCTGAGAATGTATTAATTCTGGTAATGAGGGGAGTATGGTATTTTAGTCTTTTTCTGTAGGACACAACGTTGCTAAAGGAAGAAAGCCAGGGTCCTGTTCACAAAAATATGCAGAAAACTAGTGCTTTTGAATAAAGGAACAAAGAAAAATCTATGATTTGCGCATAAGAAATACCAAGAAATAAAATTCATAAACATAAGGCAGTATCCATAGCTGTAATTTTGATTATAATATGCCTTAAACTCTTTGTACTACTGATCTTGGATGTTAATACCATAGAGACTTACAGAGAGATAGTAACTTTGTTTTTATGTTGGATCATTACCAGTTCATTGGCTACTGTTACCACTTGTGATTTCCTGGCACTATAATTGTTGGGAAGTAACTTTCCTGTTGTTTTAACCAGCAGCACTTAGCTGCATTTCTGTATTAATATTTTCTCAGTCCTTCAGGGCATTCTAGTAATTTTTGGGAGACTCATTCAATGTTGTCTTCTCCTCATTTCAGGTTATTGAAGGAAAGCTGGCTCCTTTCTTGGGGAAGGTGATCAAGTTTGCCACCTCTCATGTGTACAGCTGCAGCCTTTGTAGTCAAAAGGGTTTCATCTGTGAAATTTGCAACAATGGAGAAATCCTTTACCCCTTTGAGGACATTTCTACAAGCAGGTACTGTAATGTCAGTCACACATTTGACTCACGTATCATATCCTTGCAGATTCTTAGCCTCCCAGTAATGCATGTTTCTGGGCAGCGGCACTAGATTACTGGTCTAGAAGGGCCACCATGAGTACACTTGGAAATAAATGGGAAGAGCTACTTCACTAAACCCTGTAACTCTCACAACAGCTGTTCAAAAAGGGAAGAGTCCCCCAGTAGCATCACACAGTGTGATTTATCCAAAGCTTTTCTGGGTCTGCAAAGTGTCCTGAAAAGCCAAATGGGTCCTCTGGAGTCATCACAGACATCCTTCTGGTATCTAATGTCACTAGGCCTGTGATCTACTGGGATTGTACATCATAAACCAACAACCATCCATTCTGAAATGATTTCCTTATGAGATGTTATCACTAATTTTCTGCTCTCCGTGTGCATATCCCTCTGTGTCTATGTATGCAAAATTTTTTTTACTTAGTTTTTTTATTGGCATGATTATTCTCAGGTGGCTACATAATAAATAGAAGCGGATGCCAGTCCTAGGCTAAACAAAAGAACCTTTATTTCACATTATATGGAACACTGAATGCCAGATCATGGAGAAAAGTTGCATGGGAAACCTAGAAGCAAAATGCAGGAACCCAGAGCAGACTTAGCAATGCAGCAATGTTACCACACATTTTCACAAATGTCTTAGATTTTGAATGAAGAAGAGAGCTGCTTTTTTTTTTTTTTTAACTCAACAAAAAGGCAGTGTGTCTGACAGCACAGCATTCCTCTATAGATAAGTACTTTTCTGGCTTTTTCAAACAGAGTAATTTGTGTTTTCTCTTCAAAATGTTTAATTGAGAGAGAAAAAAAATTTAAAACATAATTTAAAAAATTATAATAATATAATTTTATAATTTAATAATATAATTTTATAATTTAAAAAAAATAATTTTAGATTGCTACCTTAGTAAGAAATCTGAACCAGCCTGTTAAAAGGGCTTTGTTAACAATCTGATTTTCCCCTGCATGCACAAAGATGTTAAATTACAAGTAACCAAGGACTACTCTTTGAGGATTTTCAGCCTAGCCTGAGTTTCAAAGACTGTTTGCCCATTCTTTTTCCCAGATGCTCATTCTAAGAAATGCATTGACAAAGCAATGGTCATAAGCTAAACAGGGTTTGCAGCTGATCTCTATACATGGTTTTCAAGAAAGAATGTATCTAGAGTGCATGGTGAGATAGGCTGAGTTGAAAAGAGAGAGACTGAGATGACATAAAACATAAGATGTCTATTGAGACTGTATGAAAGGTGATTGAAACTATTCCTGAAAGATTGATGAGAACGTGTAACAGCATTTGGAAAGACAAGTTTACTTGAAATGTCTCTGCATTTGATTTGTCTGGGGATTTTTTGGTCCCAGAAACACCACTGAGTATATATTGTTCCTCTGCCCTTTAGCTGAGATGAGACAAACCTTGCAGTTACAGAGTTTTAAACTTTCTGGAATCAAATAGAGTTTGTTAGCAGTTCAGTGAAAGCCAAAAGAAGCTGCTCTAGCTTTTTTTATGCTCTAGCTAGTTTTTATATGAATTAGGAGCCAGAAAGGACTTTAGTTCATGTTTCACACATGTGAAGTCATGGTTGATGTCATGCCAGAGACAACAGTCTTTGTTAATTATTTTAATAAAAACACAATTAACAGGAAAGGTTCTTCAATATTTCATATTTTGTCAGAGGTCAATCTGCTTATTCCTCCTGTCTTCCTTATCACTAAGCCTTGCTTTTATCCCCAGCATTTTCTGCTTCCCTTCCTAGTTAGTTCTCTTACCTCATTACTGCTCATGTGTGCACGTCCACCCCTGTGAAACAACTAGATTCTTTCAGTTCCATATTTTTGCCCTTTTTCACCTTCAGGCTGGAGGCGGCTCATGCCAGCAGAGGAGCTTGTGTGTTTTACTGTGCAGCTCCATCAGCTGCAAAGCAGTGAGGGAGAAAGCCAGGTAGAGGTGAGAGAGCTTTCTGAGGTAGGTGTGGTGACCACTACTATGGCAGATGTAAGCTGAGGGGGATAGTTAGAAATAAGTTGATGTACAGATTTGTGATTTAGTTGTATTAGTCTGAGTTGACAACATGCAGTAAGAATTTATTATGATTCCTTTTCTCCATCCTGGTTTTCTGGAATTGCTGTCTGTAGCATAGTATTATTTTTTACTCAGTACTGGACTGCCAACTACCCTGGCTGTAGCTGCTCAGTTGAGGGTAGAGCAGCTGAGATCTGAAGACTGTTTTTCCTTCTTCCTTTGTAAAGTTGCTCATTCACTTTTGAGCTACTAGTTCTACTAGCAAACTGGGCTGCTAGGTTAGAAATACTCGGAAGTGGGTGCATGACAGCTTTTGCAAACTTCACCTCTTTGTTGAATGTTTAGAAAGTGAAGTCTGTTTGTGTCTCTGGGGTGTGTGTCTGTGTTGAGCTGGCATGTGTTATTCTGGCACTATCCTGACATTTCTCACTTTTTGGAGAGAAGAGTGACAGCTGTTAGAGAGGCCATTACAATTCAAAGGTGGTTCTTAGCTGGCTCTTACCTTTCCATCTTCATGGTCTCTTAGGTCAGCTTTGAGGAGGAGAGATTGTTTCTCTCAAAAATATTCTCAGCAGTTTCTGGAGCAGTCTTCAATAGTCCTCTATGAAAGATGGGTCTTCTTTAGATAAACAAAGCTGAGAGAAAAGAAGGGCCCCTCTTGAGGGCCAGATTTTCTCTTTGGTCAGGGTATTTGCTTGAGAGTAATTTTTTTCAGTCCTTGAGCAAACAGAGTGAATACCTGGGTTATGCACTCCTCAGGGTTTGAATACACATATATTACATAGCCTTCTCTCACTAATCAGAGTGACACATTCCTTTGTTGGCAAATGGTTCCAAAACAAACACAATCAGTTAACTTAATTAGCGGGTCTGTGGGCTGTGCTTGGCAGGCTCTTTACATCCTGCTCAACAATACAGCACATCAGTTTGCTGCCTTGAATGTAAAGGTGGGCTCACAAAGTCATAAGCTTTCTAATAGTATTTCCTCTCTGTGGCTTTTCTTGGGAGGTGGCTGTTCTGCACGGAGCTAAATGAAAGCCATGATTCAGTAGCTGAACAGTTTCTGTAAAATTGTCCCATACTTTTGGGTGTCTCTTTCAGTCAGTTTGATTCCTCTGTCCTGCATTTTCCTCTCTTCTATATTCATATCTATATTTATGTAACAGTTCATCAGGGTTCTTCCTAAATTTCACTGTTTCAGCATCTTTTTGAAGGCCTTTAAATCATGAGAACCATATTGAAAGCCTCCTGAATTAATGATGTATTTAATGGAGCAAATTGCCAGCTAATGTAAACTCTCATAGCTCTGCTTTTGTTTGAGCCCTGGCAACTTAAACTACCTAAGCATCTACATGCAATTTTATTTTTTGGACTAATTTTGCCCCATGGTTAAGTTTAACAAATAATGTATAAAATTATCCTATTATGTAACTAGTTTCATTTTTATAGGTGTTGTAAAATGAGTTTAAATATTCCTGGTTATAAATTGGCTCGTTAGAGCTATCCTTCCCCATTTTTTATCATCCAGGCATTGCTCGTCAGCTTTTCTGATATTGCTTGTTCTTCATTAACAAGGTAAAAAGATATTTTTTTTTCTACATTTAATTTTAAAAGCAGATGTGAAAAGAAAATGCCTGTTTAGTGGTAACTGTTGTCTATGATATGCGGCCATATATTATTTTATAACCTAGAAAATTTTTTAGTAAGTATTAAAACTTAAGGAATTCTGAGAAAAGTACCATTGGAATGAGAAAATAGTTATTTGTTAGGAAGGAATTTGTATCCAGTTAGGTATTGAACTAATTATATAAATCTGGTTAAGATTCTTGCATACTACACAGTTAATAAAATTTTGGTTTTGCCTGTGTATCAGCATCCTCCTAGTGACTACTTTGAGAGACAATTTGTTGTGTTTTGCTGGTAAAGCTGGTTGTGAACTCAATTCCCTGCCTTTTAGGTGGTGACTTTAGATGTATGTGAACCATGGAGAGCTGCTCTTTTGTGTTCCTATTCGTTTATCAAGGCTAACCTGTTTTCACTTTTGTCAAGTTAATTTGTTCTGCAGATCAGTTAAGACATGCAGACCTTTTGAGATACAAACCAGAAGACCCAAGTTTAAAATAGACATGCCACAGGACAGGCTTGCTGTATCAGCCAGCTTGGATGCCTCTATAATCTTTGGTCACCATCCTGATAAGACCTACAAATGTACTTAACTTTACACATAGCAAGAAGTCTTACTAAAAGCTCTGGGGCTCTGCATAGCTTGATGTGCATGCCAAAGTCTTTGCAAGATTACAGCTCACTGTGTTATGGATGCTGTGTCACTGGACAACAGCTTTGAGCTGTTGAAGAGAAAGTTAAAGACAGGTATTAGATGGAGAGACCGAAAATACATAGTACAGAGCATTTACAGGAAGTACCTTGGCACAAGTCAAAGACATGACTCAAAATACATAATTTTCCCCTCTTGCTGTGATTAGTTTGTTTTACGCTAGACAGCCTTTCCCCAGGCCTAGTTCCCCTGAGCTACACTAGTAGTTTACTACCTAATTTTTGAAAGAATTTAGCTTATCAGCTGTTGAGAGTTGGTTCAAATCACCCTGAAGTGATCTGCTCAGCACTTTCTTTGAAAAAACTTAGGTCCTAAGTAGATGGTAATTTATCTTGATAATTTAATTTTACCTGAATCTATCAGAACTGGTAAAAATATTCTGTCTCAAATCTCCTGATTTTTGTCTGTGCAGGGTAGCAGTAAAGTTATCTAGAATACATAAAAAGAAAGATAAAATATGCTGGCCTTTTCATCAAGCATTGTATTTTGGAACTGGATTAGCTTTAGAGGTTGGGTTTACCTGCCTGGTGTCAGAGTGGTGTTAACTAGAACATTCAGTGTAAAGGCAGATACTTATTTCAAGTAGGAAGGTCCCTGCATGCT